AAAAAAAAAAATAAATAAAATAAAAAAAAATAAAACTGTTATGTAAATCAGGGGAGCTTTTAGTCATTGGCTGCTTTCTCAGATATGGATGGTGCAATTACTACTTAATGAAATGATCATGACTATGCTTCCACGGCATGGACTATGTACCTGGCATTCTGGTACCCAATATGCAGAAACTCATTTAACCCTTACAACAACGCTGGAGAGTAGGCTATTTTTCTTACTTATTTTCACTTATGGAGAATTTAGAGGAATTCCTCAAGTTATAAAGCCAGTGTCTGCTAACTTAAACAACAGAAGAAAGAAAGAGTGAGAGAGAGGGAGGTTCCCCTAAAAAATTATATTTACTCCTTAACGGCCATTGTAATGAATACATATGCCATGGTAAACTGCATATTCAGGGAGATAAAGAAAGACAATGTTTTTAAAGGGAAAAGGAGGAGGATTACATAATTGTTTTGAGATAATTATCCTTGGTTAAAAGGATCAATAACAAGGGGTGGCGCCAGTCCAAGGTTAGGAGGCAGTTGCTAGGCAGATGTCCTCACAGAAGTATTTTTTTGTGCAAGGTTACAATGGCTTTTGTGCAAGGTTGTAACTTTTGCAGAGTCTTTTCTAATAGTTCTTGTTATTAGGCATTTATGCATGAAAACCCTCCCTTCATGACTTTCCCCAGATCTATCAGGTTTAAAAGAAAAACTTTTTTTAAAAATTTTTATTTTTTATGAACACAAGTGACTCCATTCTGATTCTGACAGCCTCTACGCAGCAGAGCTGGGATTCAAAGTCAAGCCACCTGGCTCAAAGCCCACACTTCTAACCACCAGGATACACAACTCCTTAACATGTAGCTCTACCATGCCTTTTAACATTTAAAATCAGTTTCACACTTGAGAGGACAGAAAATCACCAGTCCATGAAGAATTAAGTTAGTCCTTTACAGCAGGGAGAGTAGAAAAGGAAATTCATTCCCCCCCCCCAAAATATATATATAGGAGACAGAGTCTCACTATATCACCCTCAGTAGAGTGCTGTACTGTCACAGCTCACAGCAACCTCAAACTTTTGGGCTTAAGAGATTCTCTTACCTCAGCCTCCCAAGTAGCTGAGACTATAGGCGCCTGCCACAACGCCCAGCTATTTTTTTGTTGTAGTTGTCATTGTTGTTTAGCAGGCCCCAAGCCAGGTTCAAACCCACCAGCCTTGGTGTATGTGGCTGGTACCCTAACCACTGAACCATAGGCACCAAGCCACTAAAATATATTAAATAGGAAAGGAAATTCATTCTGAAGTATAATTATGGCTGTTCTTAGGGCTTCTTGTGTGTTTTGCCCACTAGGAGTAAAAGGCTTAGGCTTTAGATCATGGGTGGAGACAGGATGAGAGGCCAGCCAAGTTTATCTCCAAATCCCAAAGCAGCTTATCACTAGCAAGCCCTGTAAGTGGGTGGGAAGGATGACTTACCGGCCGGGGCAGACTATACTGATACATTTCTGGGCGGTAGGTCGGCACCCACTGTACCCCAGCCCTGGGCCGCGTCATGGTCCCGGGAGCGCTGGTCACCACCTCTGAGTAGGGCAGGTGCTGGGCTGAGCCGTAGGCTTCCTGGTGCCGGTTCTGGCCCGCGTGGCCCGCAGACGCCAGGCTGAAGGCTTCCTCCAGCAGCATGTGCATCTGCTGCCTGACCTCGTCAATGGAGGGCTGGGAGCTCAGCGTGGACGTCTCTGAGTGGCCTTTCACCTGCCGAGACCTGGTATAGCCCCGGGGCTCGTGTACTCTGTCCACGTTGGTTTCCTCTATGATTTCAGGCTCAGTCTGTGGGATGAAACAAAGCCCATGGATCGGTTAATTAACTTTCCTTCCCGTTAAGGTGGTCTGTAATTTACTCTAAAATGTTTACTCCAGACAGGTGTTACTATGCATCTGTGCTATGGGCCATTTCTAGGAAGTCACACTACAACTGGCATTCTATCACGAAGGCCATACTCTAGCCATTGTTGTGCGTTCAGTCGCCTATAGTTGAACCAATGACACAGCCTTGGCTAATTAGCAGAGTAGTCATGAGAACTGGTTTTCATCGATGACATTAATGGCATTTTCTAAAATCTTTTAGAGACATTCTTCACCCTTATGCCTGTGGGTATAACAATCTGTAAGCGTGCTGTAGCCTATACCCAGATGGATGGCGCTCTAGACCCAAGGGTGGCCAACCTTTTGGCTTCTCTGTACCACAGTGGAGGAAGAAGAGCTGTCTGGGGCCATACATTATCTATGAGAACACTAATGAAAGCTGATGAACAAAAAAAAGAGCCACAAACAGCGCCTGTGGCTCTAAGGAATAGGGTGCCAGCCCCATATGCCAGAGGTGGTGAGTTCAAATCTGGCCCTGGGCCAAAGAACTTCAAAAAAAGGGGGGGGGCACACATAATTTTTGGGACGTCTGATACCACAGATAAGCCAAAAAGTCCTCATATCATAACGTCCTCATGTGGCCCAGAGGCTGCAGGCTGGCCATGCCTGTTAGACTAACTCTCTAAGTGGTCCTGTGTCCAGTCATTGATTAGGGAATTGCTGGCTGCCTGATGCCAGTTGCCAGAGAGAGTAACAAAATCCTGCTTACATGTAGATGGCTGATGTCCCAGTGTGGTGCACACTCAACCAGAAGTTCTGGGTGTGGGACCCAGCAATCTATGTTTTAATAAACCCTCCATGAGATTCTAATGCCTGCTCAAGTTTGAGATCCACTGATCTAGAATGTTCCTCTGCCTTTCTCCATCAAACCTTTCATTTAGGGAGCAGCTTCAGCCCTAGTAAAGAGCCAGGACTTCATCAGCTTCCCAAGCAGGCTGTACGGACACCTTTTGCTCGCCTGCTAACAAATGCTTGCTAAGTAAGAGTCTGCTTTTGCTCAGAGGCTTCTCCACCACTGTTAGGTGGGAGACTGTGGGAGCTACTTCCACCAGTCTGGCGTATGCACAAGTCTCAACATGCAAGAATGTACAAGATAAGAGATGAGACACTGCTAGGGTGACACTGGCAGGTTGCTGCATTGCCACAGCAAGCGGAACCTAAAAGGTGCACAGAAAAGATAAAAGACTGGGTGTTAAAGACATTCCAGCCAAGAAAGTTACTTTAACTTTTCAATGTTTCAGTTTTCTCATCTGCAAAATGAGGATAATACTGCCTGAAAGGGTTTTGTAAGGATTAAATGCACTTAAATGTTCTAAAGATTTTAGAACGGTAGCACAGGTAAAAACACAATAATTATAGTTGTTGTCATCATCATAATCATCACTACTTTTATGCATTCAACTGCACATATTTTTCATATAATTACTATTATAGAGCACCTAGATGTATGGGCCAGAGGGTGTCTGGAGGGAGGAGGGAGAGCGTTTGGCAGGATCTCGTCTAATGTGCACAAGGCAACGGTATTCAGTACACCCCCTGGGCGAAGGGCTCTTCTATTACTTGAACTTTACTTTGGAAGTGAGAACATTGTAAACTAAAAATCTGTAACCTCCTATTAATTTGGAAAAAATAAAAATAGATTAAAAAAAAAGAAATAAACACAGCAGGAAAATGTCATCAAGGGACTCATACATAAAGGGAAGTCCACTGGGTGCGGGGGCTCACACCCGTATTCCTACCACTTTGGGAGGCCGAGGTAGGTGGATTGTCTGAGCTCAGGAGTTCGAGACCAGCCTGAGGAAGAGCAAGACCTGTCTCTAAAAATAGCCGGGCATTGTGTCAGGTGCCTGTAGTCTCAGCTACTTGGGAGGCTGAGACAAGAGAATCGCCTAAGTCCAAGAATTTGAGGTTGCTGTGAGCTCTGATGCCACGGTACTCTACCAAGGGCAACAATGTGAGATTCTGTCTAAAAAAAAAGAAAACATAAAGTCCTTTTCTCCTTAAATACTGTACATGAGGGTCAGAACTATGTTATATTTAGTGTTTTTAAAAATGTGTTTACTTTTCTTTAGCATCCAATTAATAGATCCTCATTAGAGAAGAACGCAAAAATACAGAAAGTACCAAAAAAATGGATATTTCCTATAATTTTATCATCCAGGGTTAGGACTTAGCTATGTAGTTCAATATCTGAAGTGAGGTTCTCTATCAGCCTTCAAGTCTAGACTTATCAACAAACATCAATAGTAAGTAATTTTTTTTTTTTTTAAGAAACAGAGTCTCGAAAAACATACCATGCTCATGGATGGGAAGAATCAACATTGTTAAAATGTCCATACTACCCAAAGCAATATATAATTTTAGCAATCCCCATTAAAGCTCCACTGTCATATTTTAAAGATCTTGAAAAAATAATATATGGAATCAGAAAAAACCTCGAATAGCCAAGACATTACTCAGGAATAAAAACAAAGCAGGAGGAATCATGGTACCAGACCTCAGATTATACTATAAATCCATAGTGATCAAAACAGCATGGTACTGGCACAAAAATAGAAAGGTAGATGTATGGAACAGAATAGAGAGCCAACAGATGAATCCAGCTACTTACTGTTACCTGATCTTTGACAAGCCAATTAAAAACATTGAGTGGGGAAAAGATTCCCTATTTAACAAATGGTGCTGGGCAAACTGGCTGGCAACCTGTAGAAGACTGAAACTGGACCCACACCTTTCACCATTAACTAAGATAGACTCTCACTGGATTAAAGATTTAAACTTAAGACATGAAACCATAAAAATACTAGAAGAAAGTGTAGGGAAAACACTTGAAGAAATCGGCCTGGGCGAATATTTTATGAGGAGGACACCCCGGGCAATTGAAGCAACATCAAAAATACACTATTGGGACCTGATCAAACTAAAGAGCTTCTGCACAGCCAAGAACAGAGTAAGTAAGGCAAGCAGACAACCCTCAGAATGGGAAAAGATTTTTGCAGGTTATGTCTCTGACAAAGGTTTAATAACCAGAATCCATAGAGAACTCAAATGTATTAGCAAGAAGAGAACAAGTGATCCCATCTCTGGGTGGGCAAGGGACTTGAAGAGAAATTTCTCTAAAGAAGATCGGCGCACAGCCTACAGATATATGAAAAAATGTTCACCATCCTTAATCATCAGAGAAATGCAAATCAAAACTACTTGGAGATATCACCTCACTCCAGTAAGATCAGCTCATATCACAAAATCCCAAAACCAGAGATGCTGGTGTGGATGTGGAGAAAAGGGAACACTTCTACACTGCTGGTGGGAATGTAAACTAATACGTCCCTTTTGGAAAGACATCTGGAGAACACTTAGAGAACTAAAAATAGACCTGCCATTTGATCCTTAATTCCTTTATTAGGTATATACTCAGAAGACCAAAAATCACATTACAACAAAAATATTTGTATCAGAATGTTTATTGCAGCCCAATTCATAATTGCCAGGTCATGGAAGAAGCCCAAGTGCCCATTGATCCATGAATGGATTAACAAACTGTGGTATATGTACACCATGGAATACTATGTAGCCGTAAAGAAAGATGGAGACTTTACGTTCTTCATGTTCACATGGATGGAGCTGGAAAATGTTCTTCTTAGCAAAGTGTCACAGGAATGGAAGAAAAAGTATCCCATGTACACACTCTATTATGAAATTAATTTATAGCTTTCATATGAAATCTAAAACCTAATAACAGCCTAAGTATACGGGGAGGAGGAAGGGAGAAGGGGGGAGAATGGGTAGAGGGAGGGTGATTGGAGGGATCACTTCTATGGTTTATCTTACAAGGGTACAAGTGAATCTTTCTAAGAGTAGAATATGATTGTCTCAACACAATAACTAAGAAAATGGCATGTAGGCTATGTTAACCAGTTTGATGAAAATATTTCAAATTGTATATGAAAACCCCACACTGTACCCCAGAAGTGCATTAATGTACATAGTTATTATTTAATACAAAAAAAAAAAAGAGAGACAGAGTCTCCTTTGTCATCCTTGATAGAGTGCTGTGGCAGCACAGCTCACAGCAACCTCAAATTCTTGGGCTTAGGTGATCCTCTTGCCTCAGCCTCCTGAGTAGCTGGGACTATAGGTACCCACCACAATGCCCAGCTATTTTTTTGTTGCAGTTTGGCCGGGGCCAGGTTTTAACCTGCCACCCTTGGTATATGGGGCTGGTGCCCTACCCACTGAGCCATAGGTGCCACCAACAGTAAGTAATTTTAAATGCTGTACTATTTTTATATTAAAACAAACAAGGCTAGATTATGGTGGAGGAGGTAAAATTACCTTTGTGATAATAAGCAAGAACTCAAAGGCATTTCATGCCTGAGTGCAAGCCCTCAAACTCTGGGTTAGGAGACCCACGTGGGCTCTTCAGGGAAAGGCTTGAGGTCACTGTCTGGGACGTGTGCTCCCTGAAGGCTGGTAGATTTGCCTGTTGAGATTTTGCCTGGCAATGTCTTCTAGGAGTGAATAAAACTCCTGATAGAAATTTCACAGTGCACAGAACATTCTGAACTGAATTTCACAGACTGAAGGGACTGTAGGAGACTATTTAATTCAAGCTCCATTTTACAGATAAGGAAGTTGAGGCCAGAGTGGTTGAGTTACTTACTCAAAGTGGTGGACAGTGGCAGAGACTTGCCCTCTCAGCTCCTGTCCTGAGCAGCCTGTAAGCACCTCACTGCCTCTTGCATGAATTTCCTGTCACTGCTGATTGCTACCCCCACATAGCCCTTTCTACATCCCAAGTCTCCCTAATTCATAAGGGACGCTTAATGTCAAACTATACCCAGGTGGGAGATTCATGGCACTGGGGTGTGCTAAGCTATGATTTTTCCCACCCCCAAGCTGTG